CTTGGATCAGAGGATATGCATGCATTTCAGATTTAAAGTCATCCGGTTTTGATTTCTATATAAAAAAAATATTAAATTAGATTTGATAAAATATAACAAATGTATGTTTTAATATGTATGAGATTATTTGGCCTGCATTAGCATATCATCTGGCCTGCATTAGTATATCATTTGGCCTGCATTAAATATAATCCGGCCTGCATTAACATTAATGGGCCAGTTTCTAAGACTGGCCACCAAAAAGTTTTGAAGATCACGTAACAAAGATATCGAGCACTAAAAATTCATGTAGCTTAACAAAAAAATACAACCAAAAAAATTTAAATGTTAAGTAATAAATTAATTATTTTATTTATTTCAAATAACTCAATAATTGTATTATTTATTATAGCCAGAAAGTATTATACTTAGTGTTGTTAGGTGAAACAATTTGGGGCAAATGATGAAAAATGAAACCTAAACCTGGTGAAAGATGAAAGATGAAACTCCTAGTGAAACTGACAAAACCTGGTGAAAGACGAAAGATGAAACTCTCCAGCGAAACTGACAAAACCTGACGAAACTGGCAAAACTTCTGGCCAAAATCAAAACCTCAAAACTCAGCAAAGATCAAATTCTCTAATACTTTGGAAAAAACTAAGTCATGTGTATGAATAAAATATTTTGTGTAGCTATTAAGTACAGCATGTGGCTTATATAAAAAAGTATAAACAAAGCAATAGCTTTTTGTTTGTATTCAAATACTATTAAAAGAAAATTAGAATTCAAACATTTAATGAAAATAATTTGTGTGCGACTCATATGAAAAATGCACAAAGTAATAAACAAAACATTAATCTTAACTCTAATTAACCTAGTTTTAACAACAATGACCAGAATCATATTGTTGATTAAATGATTGTTAGTATTTTGTATTGTTAATAAAATGAACTTGTTAGTAAATTGATTGTTGATAAATTGTACTGTTGGTGAACTGATTGTCAATAAATGAATAGAACCCTTTTGTTAGTTATGTTTGCAAGTAATGATTATTGCCTCTACTTGGGATCATCTGATTACACAATAATGATAGCTTCATTATTTTATTGACATTAATTGTCAGTAAAATAACAGTTGATAAAATAATTCACTATATATTTACTGTTTAATTTCATTTTACTGCATTACTATATCAATTATAGTGGGTGACTATGTATAAAGAATATTCAATAAACTATATAAGTTATTAAGTTTTATTTTATACTATCATATCGATTTTTTACATTTTATACTCACTGACTAAATTAATGCAAATGAAACTTTTGCAAATTTAATTCAACCAATTGATGCAAAATTTTGCAACATGTTTAACAGAGTTGATAATGGTATCAGTCGTATAACATTGATAGTTCCTCCTGTTACTTAATTATGATATATATATTACAGAATTATGTTATAGTGATATAGTATTGTTATTACAGTATTAAATACTATATAATAGTATTATAATATTACAGTATTACAGCATTGTGGCATTACGGCATAATATTTATGACAATTAAGTAGTGTATATAATTAATTTTACATATTATCTAGTAAAATGCCAAAGCCATAATTCAGTAATTCTATTATCAACACTAGTCTGATCCAGTTATAATAATGTACAGTCTTAAGAATTAATTAGTACAAACTGGTTCAGAATGGGTTGGTCTTAAGATTAAGATCAGACTAATTTTTTTGACTTTCAGACCGGTCTTAAGACTGACTGTAGTTCATTAGTTTAGACTAAATGACATAACATCCCTAGATTAGAGTGCATGATGTACATAAAAGATCATCTTTTTCACATAGCATATGCTTTGCATAATTAGATAAAGAAAGTAATAAAAATAATATGCATATATTATGATTGGTAGATGAATGTTTTGAAATAAATTTTATAAAGACCTGATGTAGGTTCTGAACAAACATAAAATACAAGAAAATTTTTTGATCAATGTCGAAAGATTCTAAAAAAATAGACAAGTGATGCATAAATTTAAATATATCACATAATTTATCATATAAATTTGACTTATATTGCATCTATCACATAATTAGCTTTAGCCAAATTGCAAATTGCATAATTTACCTTATCGAATTGCATAATTCTGAACATTCTAGTATACTATTTTTAATACTGGCTATTTTATATACAGATTAGATACTATTAATTATTTGAAATTAAACCTGATATGCAATATGCTTCTGTGATAAAATTAAATTTATGCACTGTTAACACATGATAGCATCTACAAAAAACTGTTATCATATAATAATATAAAACTGTTATCACATGATAACATTCACAAAACTGTTAATAAGTGATAATGTTCACAAAAAACTGTTATCACATAATAACATAAAACCATTATCATGTGATAACTATTAGTCGTAGTTGAGTTGATTTTATGATAGGTTAAATAAAATCAATATCACGTAATAACATCTACAAAAACCATTATCATGTGATAATATTTATTAAAAAAAACCATTAATTTAATACCCCCTGCATTAACACTCTGCATTAATATCCTACATTAATACTCCTATTTTCTGCACCCCTGCATATTTTAATTAATCATATGATGTTTAGAACTTTGCTTAAAAGTAAGTTTGAGTCAACTTCAAAAAGTTCTTACTAAGTTAACTTAAAAACCAACTTCAATAAACTTTTTAACAACCCTACCAGGGACAGGTCACAGTCCTACTGGGCTATTTGGATTGGGAGTCTGAGGTCAGAAACAGGAATATACTAAAGTACTAAGAATATGCTGTGAAGTCAATGCTAGGGTCTAGATGAACTCTGCAAGGGCGAGCCCTGTTAACAAGATACTAAATATAGGTAGTTAGTTAGCAGGAGGGCCTCCTGGAGCTTTATAGTCAGGTGATATACTCTGAAATGTGTAATGGCTTGACAGATGTACAGACAAGAAGGTTATAGTTAGGTTAGACAGCACTTAGGTGTATGGGAACTTGTGTGCTATTTGTCGGTGTAAGTATAGGAATCAGAGTGTTTAAAATAGGTAATCTCCTAGTAGATTGCAGGTATGACAGCTAGTGTAGAATCTGCTGTGCAGGCGGATTACTTAAATTAGACAACCAAAAGTTGTACATATGGCTAGTTGTATACTCACCTTGTACAAGTTATGTAATCATAATTAAAATACAATAAAGGCAATAGCTGCCAATAACTACAGCCTTAGCAAAAGCAAAAAAAAAAAAAAATTTTGTAAAGTTTATTCAAACTCTAGTATTTATATTTTTGATATTTTTTTTATTATTGTTGATTAATCTTTTTATTTAATACTAAGTAAACTCTTTAAAATACAAATTCAGATAGTCTAATATAATATACTTTAATATTCTTTTCTTCTGACAAGCTATAGTGATCTGGTTAGTTATATGCTTCTTTATATATTTTTGTAATTTTATTTATTTAGCAGATTTTTTGTAAGATATTTGTAAGTTTTTATTAGTTTAATAATATTATTAAAAGTTTGTATTATCTTTTTAGTAAAAATTTTTAAATAAAATTTTATTTCTTTAGTTATTTTACAATTTTTATTAAAAATTAAAAAAAATTAACTTAGTAAAAAGAAAATTTTATTAAAAAATAAAATCAATTTATTTATATTCTTAAAATATATTAAATTTTTATGTATTCTGTTACAAATTTGTTTATCATATATTATATAACATAACTAACAATTACAATTATATACATCAGAGAATAAATTATAAATAATAAATTAAATATATAGTAAATACAAATGATGCAAATTGCTATTAGACATAAATACAAACAAAAGACAAAGTTAAAAAAAAATTTTTTTCTTATAAAAAAAAGTTTTTAGCAAATATAAATATTAACTTTTCTTTGAGTTAAACAGTTTTAATACACAAGTACTGCAATAAGTATTAAAAAAAATATTTATTTTATAAATATATTAATAGTTTTGAGAATCTGTAATTAAGGTTATTAATATAAATTAAATTTAGTAATATGTTATTAAAATTTGATTTGCATTAATACTTATATAGATGTTTTGCTTATAAAAGTTTTAAATAAGATTATAGTAATTTAATTCTATAAAATTTATAATTTTAGATACACATTTTAGATCAAAAAAAAAACTTGTTTGAGTTGCTTTTTACAAAAATAAAAAGCAAAGATAATTTCAAACTAGCTAAAAAGCAATCTGTTAATAGTTTACAAAGTATATTAAACCTTTTAATTTTTTTTAATTTAATTAAATATTATATTTATCTTTTAACTAATCAAAAAATTTATATAACAAGTAATTAAAATTTAGCCAAAACAATAAATGCTTTAGCAGTTGAACAAACATTTTATAATTAGAAGAAATTGAATCTTTTTATTTTTCTTTATACAAAAACTCAAAATTTTGCTAATATTATATATAGATTTGAATATAATAAAGGAGTTTGTCAAATTTACTAATATGTTTGTAAACATTAAGATTATAATAGTACAAAAAACAAGACTAATATTACTAAGAACCAATGACAAACATAAATTAAATGTACTAAATATTATTAGGCTGTTTGTGCCAGTTGTCTAAAAATAAAAAACATATTGAGCATTAGTTTTTTTTTTTATGAATATCTCTGTTATATTTGCAACTAGAATGCAGGTAGTGCTCTTTTATTAAGGTATTATTTTATTTAATTTCTACAAATTTATATATATTGTTACTATATATATTACTAGTGGTGTTTCTTAGTTTTTTTATACCATATGCTAATAAGTTTAACTATAGTAATATAGGTTCCTGGTTCTGCAGTATAGGATCTCCAATTTTAAGATTTGCAGTTCTCTATTAATACAACTTTACAGGTTTTATCATCTTTTTTTGATATATTTTTTTCATGATTTTATAATCTGAGAATCCTTATATTATTGATGTTTTTTGTCAGATTATCTTCTTATCTGAATATTATATAACTCTGTAGCTATGTTATGCAACTTGTTTGTTGTAGTATTCTTGTTCAGAAATAGAAATAGGAAATCTTCTTAAAATAAACATTCATAATCCTAGCACAGTTTTTTTTACTCAGTTGGAATTGAATTAGTAATCTTGTAAATATAATCTAAAAGTGCTAAACACTGCACTACTGATTCACAGATTTTGAGCATTAGTTTTCTTTGTCTAAATTATAATATTATTCAATAAAGAATAAAATTAATAAATTTATATTAAAATACTAAATATTTTTTAAAAACATGTTAAGAAACATTAAATTCTAAATTGAGATTAGTAATATTAGTATAAAGATATAGTATCAAATACTGCCAAATTAATATCCAAATAATTTTTTTGTCTCAAGATTTTTTAAATATTATTTAAACTTTTAAATAATAAAATTATATTAAATATAAAATGACTACTTTACTTAATTATTTAAGTATAAAGCTAAAAATATTAGATAAATTATAAATTAAAAGGTTAATTTTATAAATAACTCTCTTGTATTCTTATTTTGGATATTATTAAACTAATATAATCTGTATATCTAATATAAAGACATTTGTTTAATATAATAATATTTATTTAACAAACTATTTTAAAATGATGCTAAGCTTCTTTATTGTAGTAGATAAAATAACTAGTCTTGTTTAGTAAAACAGGCTCTTATAAATAGTAAAATAGTTAAAAGTTATGAATAATTATTGCAAACTCTAATTTCAAATACAAATGCTATAACTTTAATAATAATTATTAACAATAATCTTGTTATTAATACTATTATTGCTTAATGTATTATTTAAAATATATTACATCTATTGTATATTTTACATAGAATAGAATTTAATTAAAATTTTAAAAAGCAAAGTAGAAGAATAATATAATAATTTTTTTCAAAAAATAATACCAAATACAAAATTTTTTTATTTTTTATTTTAATATTAAAGATAAGTACTTGTAATTTAGACTTTTATTGATAATATGTTTCAGCTTTGTAATTGTATTATAACAGTCATAGAAGACAACTCTAGAAAGAGTATACAACTAGTCACTTGTACAACTTTAGTTATTGTCTAATTTAAGTAGTTCATCTAAAGGTTCTACACTAGCTGTCATATCTAGAACCTGCTTGTAAGTTCTCTATTTAAACACTCTAGTTTCTATATTCATCTATCTACCTATCCTACCAACTGCTTTAGTTTTCACCAATGTATATATACTATAATTACTAGGTCTTTAAAGTAATTTACTTATATAAAAAACCTTTAACCTTGTACTAAACCTATTAAAGCCTTCTATTATCCAATTTTCAGCTAATTTAATATCTCTATAGTTAAAACCAATACTTGCAGTCAGTGTAATCCTTAAACTGTTACACTTTTGTAAAGTTTATACAATTCTAGTATTTTTCTTTACAACCTTACCAGTACCTTGTACACTTTTGCAAGTCCTTCTATACTACTAATCTAGTTAACTCTGTATGATATAACTTTATACTTAGTTAAACTAATAGCCAAATTGGTGAACTCCTTTATTTAAAGTTCTTGCCTATACAGATCACTTGTCTTAGGTTTTCATCTCTGGATCAAGATTTTCACAGATAGCATAATCAAAGATCATACTACTTTTCTATTTAGAATTTCCAAACAGGACTTCTTATAGAATATATACTTTCTAAATTTATTTGTATAACATTGCATATTCTCAAAGTTAGTCTTGGTATAATTAGAATTACAAAGTTACAACTTTAGATATTCTATATAAGTTGCCAAAATAGAACTATTTTCCAAATATCTACTATCAGTAAGATTTGAAGTCTGAACCTACTGCTTAAAGAATAACAACCCAACTACTATACTAAGATTGCCATCCTCTTAAATACAAAATTCATATTTATGTTAATAGTTTTTTATTTATGAAATAAACTTTTAGTAGAGTTTTCTGATATTATTTTGTATTTTAATTATGTTTTTTTTAATAAAAAAAAGCATTAAACTATTTGTTATATTTTTAAAATCTTTAATAATAAAATACAATTTATACAAAAAATTAAAAATCAAAATACTATAATTAAAATTTAGTAAATAGCAGCACATTTTTAATAAATCTTGTTTTTTTTTAAATACAGTATTAATAGTAAGGCCATGGCTTTAACTTTATTAAAATTCAATTGAAGTTTTTATAAAAAAAAGCTTGCTTTTAAATTACATATAAAAAATAAAAACTCAGACATATAATCTGTGATCTAAACATACAAGAATAGCCAAGTCTTATCTAGATTTGAGTATTAGTAATAATATAAGAAAAATGTGAATAATATTTAATCTATTGGATAGTTCAAAAATCAATTTTGGTAATAATTTGTGATATTGAAATAGGGAATAAGGGTAAACTAGAAGGAGAATTAAGTTAAATTTGTAGTAAGTATAGTTTGAGGCTATGCAAAATATGAAATACAATATAGGATCTATATATGTTTATAAATTTATTAATTTAAATAAAAAAAAATTTAATAGAAAGAGAAATAGCTGTATGATAAGAAATAAAAGTATTATAAATAGTAAAAATAAGATCAATAGAAACTAGACCAGATAGAATAGAAATAAGAGATGGCATATATGAAAAGTTGTACAATTTGAAGTTATTAAGTATAAGAATTTTTGGATGTAAATTAAAAACAAAGTTGATAGACATGTTAAGAGCAGTAGCATTTAAGATACAATTAAGAAAATTGGAGATTAAATAATAAATTGTTTGAATAGAAAAACAAAAAGTTCAGTATAATGGAGAGCTAGTTTGATTACATTGGTAACAAAGAGAAGAGTAAGAGGAGTTACATTTGTAAAGAATGTAAGAAACAGGTAGTTCTTTTAAGAGAATTTTAACATGAAAAGTTTTTAGAATAGAGAAGTAAAAGCTATAAGCAAAGTTAAAAACCTTTTGATTATTATTGATATAAAGCCAAATAGCTTCCTAGTTAATATTAGAAGCAATAGTAAACCATTATTAAAAATGATGTTGAGACATCCAAAATGTTATGATATAAGCTTGACAGATAGTATGAATGAAGTGTTGAATAGAAATTTCAATAGAAAATTGAACAATAAATAGAGTATAGGCAGAGTTGTAAGAGTTGTTAGTTAAAAATATTAAAAAGCATAGTATTTAGTAACTATGAGCAAGTTGGTCAGCAAAATTATTAAATAGATCATCTTGGTGTTCAGTAACTTTGTGAAAAGTAAGCTAAATATTATATAAGTTAATAAAGTTAATAAGAGTTTGCCAAATAGAGAAGTATAAGGTATGAATATAAGAAAGTTTAGATGCTAATAAGCAGATACTATAGTATTTGGAGATTACAGATTGTGAGTTAGTAAAGATATAAACAGAACAGTTTCTAGAAGCAGTTATAATTGCTAAGAAAATAGCAAGAATTTCAACTTTAAAGAAGTATAACTAAAGTTTAACTTGTATTTAAAATAAGTAAATAGTTGTAGAATTATTAACTTAAATCCAACCTATGCCTATAAAGCATTAGGAAATACCAAGCTCGATAACAAAACCATCAGTATAGAATAAAATAGTAGTTAGATTGTAATTAAAATTAGCAATAAACTGTAAGTTATTAGTAAGTTGATTAGACTGAAAGATGCAAGATAATTATTGTGAATTAATTATTACTAAAGGAGAGGATGAAATATATAGCTACAAAATATGCAATATTAAGAAAGTTGACATATAGATTAAGAGTTTTGTTAGAATTAATACAACAGAATAGTTTAGTAGCCAGGTTTGTAGAAATAAAGATAGTGCATTTATTTGTGATTTTATTAAAATTAAGTTGACATCTAGTACATATTGTAGTAATAGAAAGAGGAATAGGATATAGATTCAAAAACTGAAACTGATATGAGCAATGCCAATAAGTAATAAGAATAAGGCCTATAGGGTATTATGCCTTATGGTCTTGTCAATAATTATTTGATTATTAAGAACAGTAAGTAATCAGGATTTGGTATTAAAAGTAAAGTAACTAGTAGTATAAGAAAAATAATTTGTTTGAGGTAAATTAAAGTAATTGTATAAGGTACATTGGTGGAAGTGGCTTGTAGTAATATCTCAAGAGTGGTAACCTATTGAGGTATGACACCTTTAGAAAGTTTGTTTAGTCTGAAAGAAATATGTTGCCAATATAATAAGTATGAATTATTATATATTGTAAGTTAATTAAGAAAGAGTAGTTTGTGATATCTAAGTTGTTTTTTGAAGATAGGATATTTGAGATGAAATAAGAAAAGAAATTCAAAAGAGATAGCTTTATCATTAAGAATATGTGGAATGTTGTAAGTTGGATTAGTGAAAAATGTTTAGCCAATATGCTAATAAGCAGAATAATTTTAAAGTTTATAGTTAGATAGTTGGGACTATCAATAATTAGATTAGGATATGAAAAGATATTGATAGAAAACCAGAGGTTGTTTTGTAATTGTTAAATTCAGATATGAGTTGATGTACCTAATAGGTTAAGATTATTAAGTCATTTAAGAAGGTTAAAAATATGATGTTGTAATTAAATGTTCTAAATGTGTTTGATGTTGTAGATTTGGGAATGTAAAAGAATGCTAGAAGATATTGTATAACAAAGTTTAGCTTTAAGTTTAACAAGACTAATATGCTAAGTAAAGATTTTATTGCAGGTAGATTAGCTAACTACAATGTTTTGAAGATGATATTCAAGAGTAGAAATGATAACTGTATTAATAATATAATAGGCATATAAGTTAGTAATATGTTTAGTTTTGGCAATTTGGATAATTTAAGAGAATTTAGCAATAAGCAGTTTTATTTGTTTAGATTGCCTATTGTTCAAAGTGAACTAGCAACCTAAAAATTTAAAAAGTTAATTAATTAAGCTTTTACTTATATTTAATATAAAAACTGAATTTATTCTATTACAAAATTTACTTTTATCTATGCTAGTTCTAAATTTTCATTAGAAATTAATTAATTAAATATTATTTATTTAATATTAGCCTTCTTGTTTATGCAATAACAGAATATTACTTAAGCTATTTAGTATATATTATATCTTATTGCAATTTTAAAAAGCAATTTAATTTAGCTAAATTAATTAATTTAACTAAACTATCTGATTTAACTGAACAATTCT